CCGTTGGAGCGCTTGTTGCGTCCATGGTCACTTCATACGCACGGAACGCTGGGTCAACAATCAACGTGCATACGTTCCCGCAGCAGAAGCACTGGGATGTGACCGTGTTCCAGTTGAAAAAGAAAGGCACCGACTCTCCCCCGTTCAGAGAGCAGTATGTGAAGCAGTCACTTGGCGTTGCTATCGATTGGAGATGCCGGTGCTCACGGTGGATAGAGTGCGCGTATTCGCGTCCGTTGGAGCTCGACAACAAGCGGCGATCGTCGAATGGTGCCAGTCGGCTTGCTTCCAAACATCGCTGTCCATCGCCAAACAACACAAAGGGTTGCGCGGGGTTGACGGTCGGAGCAGGAGTCGGCGCACATGTAGCCACCTTCTTGGCTTTCGAGTACCGCACGTTCAAGACTGCGGGACTTGCCAGCGGCGTCGCACAGTAGGTCGTCAGGTCTGTCGCATTCACCAGGTAAGCTAGGCCGGTGACTGTCAGAGTCTCTGGGGCACATGCGTCGACTTTAGCTTTGGCTTTGAAAACACGCTTGTTACCTTTGGCTTTCGCAAAGTCGAAGCCGAGCCAAAACACGGCCGTTGATCCGTCCGGGTTCTCGATAACTTCGGGGTGAATGCGCGCCTTTGGACGACTGGAGGTACGCACAAGTGACAAACCCGTCGGTAGCAGCAATTTGAAGTTGAGATCGTCGACGACTTCTTTACTTCGAAGAGTGACGGTGACCCTAGCATGACCTTTTACCTGCCAAGACTCCGCGTTTGAAGCCCGGACGCGCCTTGCCAGTGAGGGTGAGAGTCGGACATTCCTGCGCGTCTGCAGTGGGGGCATAGGCAATGCCAAGTACAACGAGGCATGCAGATACGAAAGAGACGCGCATATTATCTGTGTTGTGAGTCGGACGTCTTATGCCTAGGGTGTGTGCTGTGGAGAGAAAAGTAACCCGTAACCCATAACAGAGTAGTCATCGGTACATCTGATAGATAAGGCATATTCGTGCGTCTATATATTCGAGGATTATCCCAGTAAGACGAAATAAGGGAAACAGATCTCCTCGGTCGTGTACATAAGTGGAGCGCCTCGAAAAGTCTGAGTTAATCTGTGGTCACAACACCTCGATTTTGATGCTCCATTAACAAGCCATATTTGTAGCACGAATGTACGCATGCAGACATGGACGCACAAAATGTTTTCCAGTATGCATGACGTCGGTAGACAACCTTGATTGACAAGATTATTAACGTTGACTCAACGTCTTTTTCTTGCGATGTTGTCACTTTTCTTCAACTGCCATCTGACCGTTACGGTGTCTGCTGCTTCTTTCATTGGAAGGTCCTACGATGCCCACGAGTGGTGCGAATTACGACCATACCCATACTTTATTTCATATAAAAAGCAAATGCAAAGCAACAAGAGTGACGATACTATGAAACCAGGCGCCGTACGTGGGCATACTCGATGTGTTGTCCGCTTTGGTCGGAAGGTAAGGGTCACTTGAGTCGTTGTCCCTTTCATAGTCAACGCATGGAGCCTTGCGGTCGACATACAGCTAGGCATACAGCGCTCTTTGATGACATGATCTCATCTGCTGGCATGTTTGCTTGCTATAGATTTGTTTGCTACTTGAGCCTTCTCTCTATAGATAGAGTCATCGCATGGAGCATTGAAGTAGACATACAGCGCTATTCATGACATAATATTGTCTGATTCTATCTTTTGCTTGTTATAGATTTGTTTGCTACTGGAGGAGCCATCTTTTTGTTTTTCTTAAGCCACTAAAGACTACTTGGGAGTGTCGAACTACGATGGAAATTTTATCACGCAAAAGGAAAAATCGAAGGCTTAGTGACAGAGTGGTTGAACGTAAGATTAAGCATCATTAAAATTTATGGGGAGAATGAGGAGATAAAACAGGTATGCGAAATAAGAGCTACTTCTATCTGCTGTAAGCTATGCTAAAGAAACGTCCAATGCCGGAGGAAAACGTGCTGCCGCAGACATGCCTACATGTTTTTGGAAAAGATCAGCTTCCCGGTAATTTTTTTGATGAAAATCATTTTAATGAGGATAAACTTCCTACATCCACCAGCATGGTGTTCCAAATTCAAGTGTAAGGACATCTTCGAAGGTAATTTGATGTCAATCGCAGTTGCGAGTGCGGTACCATAAAAGCCATTTCCCCATAATTAGTTCGTGTACCTTCATTTGTGTGTGGGATGAGTTGCACAAGCACAGGTAAAGGCACATTGTCAAATAGCAGCGAAAACTATGACAGCTTCATACCTTCGTGAACCAAAGCAAGCACGCTTTGAATCCAATGTCTCACATCAAACTCCTTATCGTTTCGACTTTGCCATTCTTGCTGCATTTACTCCGCGGGCGATATCTTTTGCCTTTTCTGGCGCAAAGATCTCGCCTCGTGCCAGGTCACACTTCTTTTCAAGTCCAGACAGTCTCTACGCTGGCCTCCCGTCCCCCCCCACCACCTGGTGGCTCAGCTGCTCGAATGAGCGCGCAAACTTCAGCTGGCGGAGTGGTCCTATCATTTTTCGGACGGATTATCATCCGTCTCGCGAGGCGTCCCCGCTCCTTTATCCTCTCCGAAAGCGATTTGAAAAGGTTCTCGTTGATGTTCGGGGTGGCCGCCAGACACTTCTTCGGCTGCCATTTCCTGGGGAGCTGCATCGTCTCTACCACCCACTGACGCTGGGGTCGCTGATGCTGGCGCGAGCGGTAGATTGTTGCTCAGATTCCTCTTCCTCTTCTAAGGCTTGGGCGGGCCTCTGCTCCCCTCCGAGACACAAGTGGCGCTCTTCCGCCGGCTCCCGCCCCTCGCCGCGGATTGAGGTGCCCCCGTCGTCACCACCCCGCCCCCCCCAGGAGGAGCCTTCTTCCCGGCCAGCCCTTGGAGCTTCTCTAGCACACGGGGCTCCATGTGGCGTCGGATGTCCGGGTCGATGCAGCTGTTGTTATTTGGTCTTGAAATAACTACCTTCAGAGACTTTGGCTCTGTCTCCGCCAGTCTGGCGATCGCGGGGTCCTGGTTGGGGGCGGCGGCGGTGGTCCGTACTACCGAAATCTTCATGGCGGAGGGGCTTGACGTCGGCCGGTAGTGTCGGCTCTTCTTCTTTCCCGCCTGCCGTGGATGGCGTCACCCTCCGGTGCATTGGCCCGAAAGCTTGACTTTTGGCCCACGCCGGAGAGCTTGCACGCGAACTCCCGGCGGCCCTGGATGTGGTTAATGGAGGTGGCTACCATGGTGTCGTCCAACGCCCTCTGCAACGCCACACTCAGGGAGGTATCTGCTGCCGCCACGCCCTTGCGAGGGAATACTTGACCCTCCTCGAGCGCCCAGTGAAGGCCTGGGTATAGAAGACGAAACTCAATGCGAAATTTCCATTCCACGCGGGGGAGAGTCGAACTGGGTGGGGTGGGAGGGAAGGACGTGAGAGGAAGCACGAGCGGCCGGTCCGTCTCCATAGCCACCAACACGCACATCCCTGTCCTTAGTGGGACTTGTCACGCACCATGATTCTATCGGCCGCAGTGGCACGCGCGTCTTGTCGTGCTTGATTGTCACGACGACGTCCTCCCAGCCCTTCCCCTCCGGCAGGAACAGCGCCTTGTCCGCCATTAGCTTCTCCACCGCCTCCCCTACCAGGCCTTGAAGAGCGCTGTCCGCCATCGGCCGCCAGGGTTCCGCTATCTCCGAGAGCGGGACCATGGTTTGAATTATGGCGTTGCGTCTGTCGCCGAGGTCCCCTCTCTTTACGAGGTACAGGCGCCTCCCATCGCGGGGGAAGGGCGTGACCTCGTTGGGATTCTTGACTTCAAGGGGCGACACCCACGGCGCCTCTACCACCCTCCATAGCGCTTCCTGTAGATGGAAGTTTCCCTTGAAGGGGGCTGTCTCGGGCACCTGATGAAGGGAAGTTAGGAAGAAAGGGTCGAATCGTCAGGTAGCGAAGGGGCAAAGGGGAGAACACGCATGCAATTTCGGTCCTGTCTCAACTCACCAGCGGATGCAGGTACTGCACGACGTAAACAAGCGTTGCAATGTCGCCATTCTCTACGACGGTGAGACACTCCCCCACGTCCAGCGCCTGGACTATCTCTGCCGCCCGCCGGATAAGGGCCTGGTCCCACTCGCTCCTGTCTATGACTGCATGGTACGATATCACAAGTGTGGATCATTTTTGAACACGAAGCCGGTGGGCTGGCGGGGACGCTCCCCCATTCTTTTCCAATTACGCCATCGCTCCCTCCCTTCCTCTCTCCTCTCACCGTGTCTGCGCGCGTCCCGAAAACATCAACACGAACAGTGATTTTGTATCCTACTGCCTCGCCGGGGGCAGGCACGTATTGACAAATATGCGTCGGCGGCATGGGCATCTCCACCGTTTCCTCCGTTCCCGCCTTGGTCTTGATGCGCAGCGTCGCATTTGTGGCAATGCTGCTGCTGCTGAATGCAGTCACGACGTCAGTATTACAACATGGCATTGCACCTGTAGCGTAGAGGAGATAATTACAAATCAGTGCAGCACCGGCCATGGTGGTGGCCATCCATGAATTTCAAACGAATACAGCCGTCGCTCAAAATCGCTTCAAGATGGCGTGCGGGGGGAAGGCTTCGCGCCTTCATGCGCCTTAAAGATACAAGAACAGTGCGAGAGTGAGAAATGCTAGTATCAAGCAAAACACAATATAAAGCAAACTTCGAGTGCGAGGCAAGTCATGATGTAAACACATTCAATAATATGGCAATTTCGGCTGTTCAAACGTTGAAGACGGAGGATGTCAACACTAGGCGACCCGGATGTGGGGCGACAAAATGCATAACCAAAGTAGGTGATTCATTGTCCCCTCTTTGTAAATGTAGAACGAGACACACTTGCATAGTGCCTGCAAACTATTTTTCTTTGGAAATGTGCCGACTGTGCTCCTCAAAGGTCATTCTTATAAATGCCATAAGAGCCTTTGCTGCTCCTTTAGCCACATCAATTGCCTCAAAGAGCTGGGAAGGCATCATTACGCCCATGCTTTGACAAGACAGCACGTTTTGATCTACACTACTTATGCCTATTGTAATGGCAGCTATGCTTTGTCGCTCTTCCTCGTTAATGGGATCGAGCAATAGATATGTGCTGCTACTGGTAGGGGCCGTTGTAGAGGAAGACGGAGGCAAAGAGGGAAGTGCTTTCATCGTGGCGGAGGGCGGGGAGATCAGGGCCAAGGAGACGGTCAATGGCACGTATTTCATGTCGATGCCGGCGTTAATGACGGCGAGGCTCGCTGCATTCATCAGGCACGCCATGAGGCCCCCGTTGTCCTCGTACACTTGGCAAATAACGTGGATAACAGTCCGGGGAAAGCGTTCGAGACAAATCGCCGCCTCCAAGAGGGCTTTCACAGCCCCCTCCTTCTCCTTTTCACTCGATGTAGCTAAACCATAGTGTGGGTGGACGGTCACCTCCACGGCAGCTCCTTCCACACGTTCTTTTCGAGAAAATCGCGGTGCCGCCGGTCCATATACGGCAGCCAAGACACTCGTTTGTCCCTGGGCAAAGCGGGCAGAACCGTCTGCTCGGTTTAGAGGACCTAATTCACACATAGGAGGGCGAAGTTGATTGGCCAAGCGTCGGTCAGGCCGTGGAGGCAAAGACAGGGACAGGGAGGAGGGTGGAAGCGGGGTAATCGGTGGTGACTCCACTTCCATACTCATACCTGTAAAGGTACAGGGGAAGGGAAGGGTGACGTGGACAGTACGGTCAGGGCACTCTTCCTTTGTCCTTTCGGGTCCTCCATGACAGTGGCAATGTACAACGACAACTCATGGTTGTTTGGGTTAAATTCTTGTTGTGTCCTTGAGACAAGGACCTGCTTTATTTTTGTCAGGAGGAAATCATTCGATCGTAGTGGGCGAGCACCACTTGACTTCGCCTGCTCCCCTGCAGTGCTCTGGTGCACAGGGTTTGTGGCGTCTGAATGCGCCTTGGACCTATAAAAATGGCATGAATTAAAACCGAGTACATATTTCTTGTTCCGAAGATGCCCCTCAAGAGTCTGACGTTGGGTGCTCTGGATTATTTCATGTTTGCAAGGTATAGGCGCAGGCACAGGACAACCTCCTCCCTCAGTCTGCTATCTCTCGAAAAGGAAAACTTGAAATTTGTAAAGTCTGGAGGTATCGCGGTAATAGCACTCACACCGTGAAAATGGCGACAACTAAATGCATCATGCTCAATCTGACTAATGTTGATCAGGACTCGGACACTACGCATGAATTTATCCCGTCCCAGGGTTGCACAGGTCCTCCGACCTCCCACTTGTGCTCGATTTAAAACCTTTTCGCCCATCGTACCCACGTTTTATCACAGAATTCCACGTATAATCTTCCAAGAGAGGCACAACTTGCAGCAGCTTTGACAGAGGTGACTTGTCCCAACCTCAATTATGTATTACCAAGAGGCACGCAAGCATGAGCAGTCCCTTCGGAAAACAATGCAGTCACATCGGGTAAAAAATGAGGGTGTGGGAATTCTTCACCACTTGCGAGGGAGATGGCCTAAGTCAAAAATATTTTTTCAACAAAGCAAGACGTTTCAGGAGCTTTCGTATCACGATGGCTCGCCGTTTCCCTCTTTTTCTCTATACCTCAACACCTCTTCTTCCCTCTTTATTCCTCCCTCCTTCTTCTCCGCCTTCCCCCTCAGAATAATTTCCGGCAAGCCCAGGAGAGGCGTCGTCGTATACACGCCATGCAAGACCCATACAATTCGCTGATGGTTGAAGGCCGTGCTTGTAAAATCCTGCGACAAGGCTCCCAACTTCAGCAGCTGGAGGATGCCCTGATGCCCTGTTTGGGTAGAAAGGTAGGGAAAATGCAAGCAGATATGGTGCAGAATAATCGTATGAGACGCGGCAGATTTGTCTGTGCGGGTTTACGTAACGGCGGAGGGGAATGCGTGGCCTGGGGGGCGCGTGTGGGGGGAAAGAAGGCAAGGGGGGAGAGAGGGAGGGATGAGGGAGGGAGCGCCTCGTGCCAGGTCACACTT